ACTTAAGTTAAAAAAATTACCTTCACTTTTCCCGGTTACAGCAGGTGAAAGGGAGAGAGATGTGAGGGCCAATGCCGCGGTCTTAATATCCTGAGCGTCATCTTCTTTTCTGTTCTCTTCGTAAATCGGACTTGCTGTTTGGCTGCGTCTTGAAGTGAAAATAATTTTAAAGAATGCAAATTTATGTAAATGAACAACATCTCTCAAGAATTTTATTTTAGGTCATTAATGAAAAATCATTTATGAACTGAGTTGTTAAAAATCTCATTCAAAAAGCATCTACAAAGTTGCAAACTCTGCATTAGTCAATGTGTGAAATTAGGCCATAAATGTAGTCAAGCAACAAAATAAATAGGCGATTATTAGACATTTTTATTTTCAAGAATTAAGGAACTCTACATACAATTTACTTAAAAAAGTTGGCAATGCTCTGAATTTTTAACATTGTATGATAAAAACTGCCAAAGATGACTACAATTTTGGGTGCGAGGAGACGCAGAGAGAGCATGTCTCGAACTTATAGAAGATGAACATGCATAAGTTGGCTGTTTGATGTATTACCATTTTAGTTCTAGGGGCGGGTCCTGTTTGTATCAATCAGGATTTTTATGACAAACGTTATGTCAGCCAAAAAATATTGATGGGCAAAAAAGCATATTAGATCATATACAAATTAACCCTAAGTATTAAGATATCTGTTTTAGATCTGCTACAAAGCTAGAAATGGAAAACCTTTCAAAAAGAAAACAAAATGCATACTTTTAGTGCTTTTAGTACTTTTAGTGAAAATTGACTGCATAAATTATGAATTGAATCCAGATTCTTTTATATGCAAAATACACCAAATACCAAAACATGACATTATCTTACTGTAATTCCAAAAATGTCATATTTAAGAAATCACAGAAATTCAAACCTTTAACTATAAAATTAGGTAAAAGCTCTAGACATTCCCCCCCCCTCCCCCCAAAGAAATGGCTGCATAATGCTCAAGAGATGGAGAATAGCAATGGAGCAGGTAGACAGCTCTCATTAAGGTTGTGAACATCGTTTGCCAAAACTCTATAGACTTTTTACATAAGCTTGAACTTGGTCCAAAATGACGATTGTTTAGTATTCAATTCGACACAACTTTAAGCCTATCTCCATCATGTCTTTCTAAATTATTGTTGTATTTTCCTTGAATTCTTATTCTTCTACAAAAGAGGTCTTGTATTTAATAATTTTTACCCTTCTCCCCCTTCTCCCTCTTCTCCCCTTCTCCGTCTCCCCCCTTCTTAGCCCAATAAATAATCCATGGGAAATATTTCCTTCTAGATTCACTGCAGAAACCTTAGAACAGAGAAAAAAAAATCGAAACTGCCTCGAGGAATCATGAAGATAAATGAGATTATCAAACCTTGACTCGATATAAAGATTACAAGGTATGTCACACAAACGGTTACATTTTTGCATTATTTTGTCAAACATTGCTGAAACACAAGTAGGTAGGAGGCTGTTGTCCTGTGTGGAACAGGCACCGCGGAGCAGGGGGGCTGGGGGGGCTCTAGCCCTCCCACCTTTTGCAAAAGATGCCAAATATTAAGTATCAAACTACCAGAAAAGCCTCTTTTTATACGGTTTTAGCCCCCCCCCCCACTTTTTTTAGACCCCCCACTTTTCTCAACGCTCCGCGGTGCCTGTGGAAGGTTGTTTATGAAATGAAATTGGTAAAGAAAAGAACTGTGTTATTCTGCCAGGGCTGTTTTGTGAGGTTAAAGTTATAAAGATCTGAAAAAGGCGAGCAGCATGATTCTGCTGTTTTAATCTGAGTGGTATTTTGATTTGTCACTTTTGACCTATGACAAAGGTGGAAGTGACTAGACAGTAATGATAACTTTTGCGTCTGGAATGAAAATGCCTTTGCTCGATCACCTTCAAGGAAAATTTAAATATCCTTGGGTTTAACAATATATCCGTGCATTAACAAGAGTTCTATTAACTAGTTGATAACAGTGGGTACACAATAGGTCCCCCGAGTTCCGAATTCCCGCTAAATGTTTAGTCCGATTCCTGATAATCAATCCCCGAATCACGGTGTTATCGATTTCTGAATCCGGCTCACAAAAATTTGCCGATCTCGTATTCCCGACTCCAAAAAATGACGATTCCCTCTCCCGAAAAACATATTGAGTACCCTGTAACAGCATAGCCCTGCAGCTATTAGCATTCAAAACTCTAAGTGCAAAAATTCTAATTAGTCCTATTGACATACTGATGAGAGTTGATTTTTTGTTTACCCGTAGCACCTCAATTATTAAGTGCTACAAACTGGTTCTAAAAAAGAGCGGACGTCAGAGCGAACACTAGATCGTTAATATATCTGAGCCACTTAAAAGTAGTGCATTGTGTAATGTTTTTAATTATCACTCGCGCTGTCAAATAGTTTGAGTATTTTGGTTGAAAGCCAACGTTTCTGATAACATTGCAAATAATTTGGAGAGCTCATCTTTATTTTATTATGATTGCGTAAGGCGAATTGATAAGAATAAGAACGCCCTAATTATGTTATGCAGAAAAGGAAGGAGCATAAAAACATTAACGTCATCTCTAAATGATACCCTACAATTGCAATTAATTTAATCATCGTATCTGCAGCCATAGCAAAATATTCCAAAAAGCAACTAAACTAAATAAAATATATTTTTATTTTTTCTTCTTTCGCGAATTTAATTGTTAGATAAAAAACATTCAGTACAGAAGTTTATAGATTAATTGCTTTGAAAGATTCCGTCTAGTAAATGTTTACCCGATGTCTAATTTTCAATTCATACTGTCGTCATTACGGTACAAACATAATAACAGAGCAAATTGTGGATCAGGAATTGTATCAAAACATATGATAAATGATAAGGTATTCATGAAAACAAAGAACAGAAATATCAAAGCACTTTCGAAGAAATGAAATGTATACCAGCTATAGTTAATGCCAGAATATCACTTCACACGTATTGCACGACTTCCTCTACGCTTTCTTCATATGTCTTGTTAAAATAGCTCAATTTCTTATTGGGTAAAAATGGCCAATAATGGCAATTCCTATTTTCCGTTTGTTTTGAGACATTGCTCTTTCCTAGCAGATTCATGAAAAAAATATCTTTAGTATGCTATAATTATGATCAATTGTTTTTGTTCTATCAAGGTTGTTTTCATCCAAAATTATGGAACTTTAATTTAGCATTGCAAACTGTCCGCAATCAAATACATTATGTTTTCTTCGCCAAACACCGTCTCAGTTGCCTTCACTTTTGCGAAAAGAAAAGTAGCATAAAATCTGACTCGATTACTTACATTAATACAAATGTTATTATAAAACGAAAATTTATACCATACTAGAATACAAATTTGAAAAAAGTTAGTGTGAACAAGACAAGAATGAGTCACTTTGCGAAAATAGCCAACAGCATGCCATCAATGTATTTTTGTTTATGATACATCAAGCTAAGATGCTGTTAGTCTTGAATAAAGTATGAGGCCAAAGGCTCAAATTTGCAAACACTAGCAAGCAGCCATTTTTGAATGCTTGTTGGGACCAGTTACAACGTAGTACTTAGTCATATACCAAAAATAGTCCCAAAACAACAAACGAAATGACGACAACATTTGCGTAACCGATTTTGTAAGGGGAGTGGCAAGGTGGTGTGACATCCTTATTTCTTTATACACACATCATACTTTTGAGACAGCTCTCTCTTTTCATTAAAGAGGCTCCTTGTCTAATGCTGGCTTTTGTGAAATGATATAATACACCAATACAATGCATCTTAGACACCCACCCACCACACATCCAAAGGAACATGTATTGTCGCTTTTTTATCAAAGCAAAATGCACTAATAATAATAATAATGATAATAATGATAATAATAATAATAATAATAATAATAATAATGATAATGATCAACCATGATCAAGGCAGGGACCGCGCACCACTCTAAAAGTGGAGGGGCTGGAATAGGCATGGCAGAAAATTTTTTGAGGCCACGCCCTCTTGAACGCCGGAAAACGCCCCTTTCAGAAAATACTTGCTTATTTCTATTGAAGTTTTATAAACAGTCTGGTTCAGAGAAAGTATCAATAACTATAAAAATAGATAGAATTAGCTCGAGGGTAATAAAAAACCAAGCTAACCAAGTTAGAAAATACATCATATCATTAAACAAGATAAAACACCTAAAAAAGGAACAAAAATGGTTCCCAATCAATGAGAACTGCTACTACATAGGAGTAAACTATCTAAAGTTGCGTTAGAGTAAACATTGCAAAAAAGTGGGTGGGCTATAGCCCCTGCTAGCCCAATGGCTGCGCGGTGCCTGTGATGAAGGTAACTGGAATATTTATAACTCTCTAGATTGTTTCTGGATTTCACTATCTGTTTTTTTTATTTGGAATCGTCATTGAAATATAGCTTAGGCCTTGTTGTTTTGTGAGTGAGAGGAGATAAGAACAATGTTTATGTGGGTTTATGTTGAAGAGACCTTCATCCCATACGGAACGTGACAGTTGTCTGAAACTCTCTAGCCTAAATGAATACTTGATTAGCATCCGCGTATGAAACGGCATTGGTGAAAAACCATCAAACCAGATTTTACTCTGAAAACAAATCTGATCTTAGGACATCTAGTCACAGTGAATCGCTCTGAGGATTTGCGGTCAATTCACCCTCCTCAATTCACCCTCCTCAATTCACCGTCCTCAATTCACCCTCCTCAATTCACCCTCCTCAATTCACCCTCCTCAATTCACCCTCCTCAATTCACCCTCCTCAATTCACCCTCCTCCGCTTGTTTATCTTCTTATTCGTAAAGCTCCGATCAGAGTAAGTGCAGTTACGATTAACGTAAACAGCATTGTCTGTCAGTTTCTTATAAACTTGTTGGATATTTGGTGTAGTCAACAACTGATCTTACATCCGCATACCATTACAACGAAATTGCCAGTGCCCTATAGTACTGCTACTAGCAAGCAAAAGAATCATTATGATAAAGCTGTGGTTCCAATGGCTTTTTACGGATGGCCATGATGGGATGGTTCTGACAAAAAGTCATCCCGTCCCATTCCAGGGCTTTGCAGACACAAAAGTGGGAAACTCAAAAGTTAAATCGTCCTTGGAATGAAACAGGAAAAAATTTGATAGAGCAATGAGATACCTAATTTGAATTCAGTGTTGTAAACTTGTGTCGGTTAGGGAACGGAGAATAGGCGATGTGTCCTTTTTTTTCTCGCATCTTATGAGGAAATCGCTACAAAACTCGTTAATAGTTTCCTTTACCAAGTCTACATGAAATACGTAATTGTTTGAACTGTCAGCTAAATCTTACTGTTCGTTTGTTAACGAAAAGTTAGGTAGCAACAAGTTTCAAAATTTGTGTGATTTTAAATGCCATTCCAAAAAAACATGACAAGTTCAAAAGAAATGAATAATAACTATATGTATGTGCTAGATCTTGCAGTTTAAGCCTTCTTGTTAGACAACAAGTTAATTGCTCTTGTCTGTCAAGAGAAATCCCTTGGGTAGCAGGGAGAGTAAAGGAGTGTGAATTCTCTCTAACACCCGCAAAATTTAAAGAATAAGGGGCTGTCGGCGAAAAGCCATTGGAGTTACGCCAATTTTTTTTTAGATGGAGATACAAAAGGGTACTTGGCCTGGCCGAATTGGAAACTTTTAAGGCTACGTGTACTTTCACAGCATGTGACTTAGAATTGTCAAAATTGCATTAAAACTGACCAGTTTCCTGAATGCAAATATATGGCATTTGAAAACGGAAACATTCCTTACATTTGACGTAGAGCTTTCTTCACTAAGTGAATGGGTTGAGTCAAATCAAACTTACCCTTTTGAAAGGCAAAGTTCTGACTGGCTTGGTCGAGGTTTCATCATGTTCTGGAAAGAATCAAGTGAACCGAAATGTGGCCTTGCGATATCGCCGGAGAGCCGAAGTTGACCTGTCTTGAAAATCAAGAGCTCGCTTACAAGGTCTAACCTCAGTCGTACATTATCACCGACTTGGTCGATCACAGATCCACGGTGTTCTTGTCCCATGTAGTAGGCGAATATTCTCTGGCCTAGATAAAGCTGTGTCCCTGCATCAATAGAGGAGAAGTGCGGTCCGACGATATCGCAGGATGCGACATTCTTGCACCATCCATCGCTGAAGGATACTGTGTAGTAGATATCGCCGGCCGGTGTAACTTTAGGCCCATCGCAAAAGACAACGGGGTAGAACAGCCGGTTCTCATGTCTGGCAAATAAAGTTCTTCGTCGAAAGTCGTGACTGAACGCCATAAACAAGCAGTGTCTTTTGGCCTTTGCTACTTCGTTTCTTTCTCCAGGCCTAGGTGAACATTACCCCTTTAACGCCGCACAACCTATAAACAATGTCCATC